CTTTAAGACAATCAAAAGGATGTTAAAACATCTTTGTTTATATTGTTATTGTCATATGTGTGTTACAGACCTTATGATTACCAATAAATCATTAGAGATGCTGCTGAAAACTTTTCAGTCTAAAAAAGGACTTATATTTTCTTCTTTTTTTTTCCAGATTACAATTACAATGAATTGCTGTCTCCCTCATTCTTGAACATAATTGCCAACAAATCAGGATGTGTAATGCACAGGAATAACATCAATTGTTCTGACATGTGTTTCCATAAAAAATATCGCAACTACGATGGTACCTGTAACAACTTGCGCAATACCGAATGGGGTGCATCGTTAACGCCTTTCAATCGTGTTTTAAAACCGATTTATGAGAATGGATTCAATACCCCGGTAGGCTGGAATATTTCTCATTTATACAACGGTTTTTCAAAGCCAAGCGCTCGTAAAGTGTCACTTGAAGTTATAAGCACACATAGTGTGACCCCGAACGATAAGTATTCACATATGTTAATGCAGTGGGGTCAGTTCTTAGACCATGATTTGGACTTTACAGTAACAAGTTTAAGCAAAGCACGATTTACTGACGGAGTAGAATGCAAAGATACATGCGATAATGCCCCTCCATGTTTTCCTATCCGTATTCCAGAGGGTGATCCACGTATTCGACGTTCACAGTGTATGGAGTTTACACGTTCCAGTGCAATATGTGGAAGTGGAATGACTTCTGTGTTTTTCGAATCTCCCATGCCACGAGAGCAGATTAACCAGATTACTTCCTACATAGATGCATCAAACGTTTACGGTAGTATTCAGGTGGAATCAACAAAGTTGCGAGATTTTACCAACGATAGAGGACTGTTAAAGGAAGGTCGCTTGGTTGAGTCGTCTGGAAAGCGCTTATTACCCTTCAATCAGAATTCTCCTATTGATTGCGAACGAGATCTTGCAGAGAGTAACATCCCATGCTTCTTAGCCGGGGATTTCAGGGCCAACGAGCAGCTTGGTTTACTTTCAATGCATACAATATTTATGCGAGAACATAATAGAATTGCTCATGAACTCATCCAGATCAACCCACATTGGTCGGGTGAGAAAATCTACCAGGAAACACGCAAAATCGTTGGTGCACAAATGCAGCATATTTCGTATAGTCATTGGTTACCAAAGGTATTGGGGCCGAAAGGTATGGAGCTGCTTGGGGAATATAGAGGATACAATCCAAATACAGATGCTTCTATTATCAATGCATTTGCCACTGCAGCTTTTAGATTTGGACATAGCTTGATCAATCCATTTATACAAAGACTCAACTCATCTTTCCTAGAAAGTGAACATGGACATATACCTTTGCACAAGGCATTTTTCTCTCCATTTAGAATTGTTGAAGAGGGTGGAATTGACCCAGTCCTCCGGGGTTTATTTGGCACCCCAGCAAAAGACGTAAACCCAAGCGAACTTGTAAATCGTGAGTTGACAGAGCGTCTCTTCCAGATGGCGCACTCGATAGCTCTTGATCTAGCGGCTCTTAATATACAGCGCGGTCGTGATCATGCCATTCCAAGTTACAACGACTGGCGTGTAAAATGCAACATGTCTGCTGCAAACACTTTTGATGATGTCAAAGATGAAATTTCTGATCACAGATTACGTAGAAAATTGGAAGATTTGTACAAACATCCTGGCAACATTGATTTATGGGTGGCTGGATTAGCAGAAGATCCTCTAGAAGGTGGGCTACTAGGACCTACGTTTGCTTGCATTATAGCAGAGCAGTTCCGAAGGACACGAGAAGGTGATAGGTAAGGTGAATTGTGGAGTATATTTGTCATAATACTGCTGCTGTTGTCACTGATAATCGTGCCCATGACAGAGATAACTGCCACAGAATGCATGTTGGCTAGTTCCTTCCACACTGTCAAAGACAAAAATCATTTTTATACCCATATATTATCATAATGTGCCTATATATGGTCATGATGTGATGTCATCATGACCATATTTAGGCATGTCATGTGTTTGTCAAATAAAATTTGATAGTGAGGACAATGCTTAAAGCCATGTTGCATTGAATAAATTTCTCAATTAAAACTTTCAGTGAGACTGATCACACAGTTGAGTTGTTGCTGATTCACAATGTACAGTTACAAGGAAATGTTGCCACATGGAATAAGGTGGTATATGAAACAGACATAATAAAAATGCTTGCATCCCGCCATCTGCTGATTGGTGGTGGCAGTCTGAATGAATCGTCGTTCAAAACAATTTGTTGCAGGTGCCTCATCACGTTGCATACCCCATGAAATCGTGTCAGCTTTTGTGTCGGCTTTCCTCTCTTAAGTTCAGTAATAATAAATAAATCATTTGAATTTAATTTTTAAAGTTTAAAGTTTTTTATGATTACCATCTGAAGGGGAATGAGGAGAGGGAATTGCCTTATATCTGTGTTCGTACCTTTTAATTTTAGTAGTATTTATGTTAAAATTGTTTGCTCTAATTATTCAACAATGTACATTTATTTTTTTAGACTGTGGTATGAAAACCCATCTGTGTTTGAACCGGCACAACTACTTGAAATTAGGCAGATAACCTTAAGTTCCATAATTTGCAACAACGCAGATGATATAAAAGAGATTCAAAAAGATAGTTTCTTGAGGGCAGATTATCCCCATGGTTACCTGAAATGCGATACCATGCCACAAATTGACTTAAGAATGTGGACGGATTGTGAATCTGGTGGGTTTTATCATTTATATTTAACAGTATTTAATAATACACTGATATTGCCAGAAAAACTTGCTCCTTTTATAATAGATGTTTGTGTGTATCTCAGTTTTCGTAATATATAAGTATGTACATACATAAACTTTGAATGTATATGTATATACAATTAGACTTGGAAAAACAGTGCGCCAGTAATCATAATGGCGTCTGTGGAATGTCAATCAAGGTTGGCATCTGACCAGTCAGAATAGTACTATGAACATGCGCATGCCCAAAACACACATGTTTTACAGTGTTGCTCTGTGGGACCTTGGCAATATCCAAAGAGGTTTGACAGAACAGTCCATTATCACCACCATCTTCATGATCATCATTTTCATACAGAAAATAACCAGTACTAAAAAGATGAATAATAATTAACTATGTTTACTAATAATTACTACTCATTATCAATAATATAATTTACAGTATTTTTTTTTTTTTTTTTGGGTACTTACAGATGGTTCAGGAACAGTATCAAATGTGTTTAGGCAGAAACGATCTATTTCCTTTTCCGGAGAAGAAAATGCACCGTCCAAAAAAGTAGTAACTGATGATAAGATAAGGGACGACTCAATAACAAAAAAAACAGCAGAACTAGAAGAAACTGTTAATGAAATGCAATCAACACTTAAAATATTACAAGAAAGTGTGGACTCACTAACAAATGAGGTATGTACAATATACAAATGTAATTACTGGTATATGTATCTTGTATAAACACAGTAGAACCCCCTCCTTTGTGACACCACTGTATAAGGGGACACTTTTTCGGGCACTAAACAAGGGAAAGTTTATTTTCTTTTTTGTCCTGAAGGTGTCCCTTTTAGGGGTTCCACTTTATACATTATGTAAATGTTCCAATAAGTGCAGCAGCAATTATAATTTTAGGAGGCTTTAGTGCAGCGCTTATGTTATAGCAGCGCTTATTTAATTAATAATTCTCATACTTCTCAATAATATTACTGATTGTCTTTTGGTTTGTTTATTGCAGGTCCGCCGACTAAAGAGGAAAAAAAGACTGAATTGAAGACGTGTTTATTCAAATTTATAGGCTAGAGAAAATTATTTTCATAACTGTGGTATATATAGCATTGTTTATTACTCAAATCAGTTTAAAACATTGCTGTTTTGAGTATTGTCCAGTTTAACGATTGTATTCATCTGTATCAAAAGGTTTTAAACATTTTTTTAAATATATATTACGTGACGATCATGTAAAATTGATCAGTGATTAAGATGTTTTTATGGTCACTATAGTCTTGATGAAACTCATGAACTAATGCCTGAAATTGTATAGATAAGTTATTCATTTTGTTTGATGTCTAGTTGTGCTTATGAAGTTATTAATGATAATCATTCTTTTCCCAAATCTAAGATTTACCATTACTTTGAAAACTTAGTGGCATCAGTATTTGGAAAAAATTTAAAATCAATTGGTCGAAAATATCATAGTGTAACTAATACATACAATACATACATTGTGTACCCTAATGAATTATGGGTGTAAAGAGGAATTTGTAATGCTGTTTTTAAATTTAGTATCTCATTTAGCATATCTGTTTTCAATATCTGTTGGCTTATATAATAACACAAAAAAAAATAGTGAAATGTATATTTCACCTTTTATATACAGTACAAGGCTCTCTTCAATATTATTATTTCAATAATAAAATAAATTAGAGATAAAAATTGGTCTAGAAGGGGAAAAAAAGGCTAATAAGAAAATGAATGAAAAACATGGAGAACAATCCGGAAAAATGTTTTGTTAGTTTTCAACTTACCTAATAATACTGGTTCTTTAATGAGTGTATTTATAAAAAAGACATTTCTAACCAACATTTTTTACGCAAACCCTAATAATCGCTCTCCAGCACGCACTGCTGTAAACAATAATTATTATGCTAAATGAGATATCAATTGAGATATTATAAAGGTCCATTTACATTGGTCAGTTTACTGTGACAATCATCTGTGATTTGTTCTTTATGGGTGTTTTATGACATCATAATGTAAAGAGATATTTGTCAGAAAAAACTTGGCATGGGAGATAGAGTTTAGAATTTAGAGTGCCGACTAGGCAATGGGAAACTGGCTGTATCTTCCCACAGAAAAATGTTGGGCCATGGCCGTGTAAGTAAAAATCTGACTTGCCCAAATTGGCACTATCAGCATCACATGGTATTTTGCATATACAAAGTTAATTATCTTTAAATGCTTATGGAATTTCATAGCTCAGGGAAAATTGTGTTGGTTAATTATGGTAATAATACATTATTATTCTTATTATTATTATTATACATAATGCTTAAAGCCTCTATGTGCTCAACATTTTAAAATATAGTATCAGATTTGGTAATAACATTGAAAAAAGATGAGTTTTAGAAAGTGGCTAAATATGCTGATTGATTTAGATAGTTATATATGATTTTTCAGACCTAATAATAGTGATCATAATCATAATACTATAATTTCAATGTTTTGGGGGTCTCTGATTGTTTAAAATTAATAAATGTCCATAAATTACTGCCATTTCGGAACAATCTATTTTTAGAAAATGTTTTTTAAGCATGCAAATGAGCAGATTGAGCTATGCAATGTAGACTTAAGAGCTAGTATTGTATTGTAGTTGAATTTTAAAGCAACAGTAGTGTGGCATTTGCATATAAACTAGAACTTATTTATTTGAATTTTGCATACAGATGTATGTTTTTTTTTTCTACTCTTTTATAACAAAATATTTAATACTGAAAAAACCAGTGGCAGCATTTTAGAATGTTTTTTTTTCTGTTTAATTCAAATGCATGATATGAAATAGTTGGCAGAATTTGCATCGTCTTTCAGGGATTGTATACCCATCTGTCCTAATGACAAAAAAAAAATCATTTTGCTTACATTATTAACAACCTGTTTAAGAAAACTTACGCAAATTTAATTGCCTCAAGTATTATGTAACAATGTTCCATGCCAAGGTTTCATAGAATATGGTTGTCTTTTTTATTTTAAAGCCCATGCAGTAGTGTGGTATTATATACAACATGACAACGTGTGCATTAGTGCAGAATCAAGGTATTCAACAAAATAATCTACTTTATTTTCCACTGATAGGAAATTAAACATCTTTGCCTTTGCAAATCTTAATATTTATCGTGACTACAAAGAATATTTATCTGGTGAACATGTTTTATCACGAAATATGTAAAATCTTATCTCTGAATTAAGTTTTTATCTATCAGAAATAAATAGCAACACCATATTTACCTTATTTGTGAAAATAATACTGTCTTACTATATGTGAACGTTGTAGAAATTCAATATTGTGGCTTGTTTTAGGGAACTTAAAATGGTGGGATTTCTGAGGAAGAAATTATTGTTGATCCAGCTATAGCTGTGTACATATATTGCCTTGTAGTTAAGATAACGTCTTTGAGTGAACATCAATAAAATATTTGTCTGGAGTACTTAAAATGGAAGTTGGTTCAGAAAGCTTTCATACGTTTTTAACTGTTCCCTGGTTTTATGTTATGTAAAGGACATGTCCATACAATACATTTCATTTCAGAAAAAATAAAGTTTCGTTTATTATTGTTTTTGCTGTCCAATATAAATTTAACATTGTACCTGTATACCACCATTTATTAAATATCATTAAGTTAGCTACTTGTGGCTTAAATCATGGACCTATTAATAAGGTCCATGCTTAAATAAAGTTAATCTACACAATGTATCTTTAATGCTAAAACTAGTGCTCAATTGGAATTGCCTTAAAGAAAATTGTTTTATTTATTTCAAGGGAAAATAAGGGTCAAGAAAGGCGAGTTCACGTTGAGGTCGTGTTCCTACCAATCCTTTCACCACTATACACGAGCATCTTTAATGTCAAGTTTTATTCCTAAATGGACATGGCTGTACAGAGTATGAACTCGTGAATAGACTCGATAAGAAGAAGGGAAAATCAGCTTATTTAAATGTAAATGTTTTAAAAAAATAATGCAATAAAAGCATTGTAATATTTGAAATCGATATCTTTCTATGCGTCAGCTGGCAGACACCATAACTAGGTGTTTGTTTCCGCCGGGTGAGGGATTCTTAAATGCATCATGTCCTCAAAATGTAAATATGGAAATGATAGTACATACAGTGCTTTAAAACCTCAAATAGAAGCCCCAGGCTTCTATATTTTACGACCCTTGGATGGACGTCTTTTCAAAATGGGCCTCTTTTCGGTATGGACTTTTTTCGAGATTAGTTTTGCAAACTAAAGAGGGGGTTTATTTTCTAAATCAGTGAGCACTGTTAATTTTGGAATCGCTGATACCGGAGATTTATCAACTATGGAATTCGTAATTCAGTTTTATATTTTATAAATTTTAAGCATGCTAGTACAATAAAATAATATTGATACCGACGTGCCAACATAATAATCAAACGTAAGTCTGAATGCAAATACTCTCTCGAAAGAAGCCCATTTTGATTAGAAGCACACAGGCTTCTTTTTGAGGTGGGCTTCTCGAGATTAAGCCCATGGTGCTTCTATTTGAGGTTGTACGGTATTTTGTTTTCAGCGTAATCTAACTTAAATATTTTGCACCACTTTAAAGTACATGAAATGTACACACAATTGCAGTGCCAAAACAGAGGTCCTTTTCTAATTGGATTTGTCTATAATAATTTATGCACTGAATAAAGTATGCAAGGGGCGGTTGAAAGTGGGGGTGGGGGGAGAAGAAATTGTAAAATAAGTGAGTTTTGGGCTGTAGCCCAAGCCTTCACTGGAGTCAGGGGCCGCCTTGGGCTCCCGCTGGCTCTGGCGCCTGTAACCTTTTATAAGTTTTATCTAATTGATTTTAAGGGATGCAATTACATTTATTTCCACACTACATTTTCAAAATACAGTGGCAGATCCAGGAATTCGGAATAGAGGTGGAACAGGGAGAGACTTTTACAAATGGACTGTAGACCTCAGCCCCACCATGATTGGGGCTGAGGTTAGAACATTTATGATTATGGCACCCACTAATTGGCCAGAAATGGCACTCGAATTTAAATTCAACTACAATTTTCTTATTTGTCCAAAATTTTAGTGAGGGTGCCACTGAAGTACTCTAATAGAAAGTTTTTTTGTTTTTTTTGTTTTTTTTTTCAAATTATCTTGGTAATCATAAACTTAAAATAGTCACTCTAATTTAGTCCGTTTGCATGTACAGGTACTTTTAAATCAATCAAGAGGCTTTCCCTTTCTTCTCTTTTTTAATTTCACTTTTGTAGTAGTATTGCAATTACACATTGTTTGTGGAAATACTGTCTAATTTACGATCAAACAGGGCTAGGGAGACATTAGTCAACATTTTTACTTCTCAAACATAAAGCGCTTCACTTAATATTTATTATGGCGTCATGGCGAGACTGCGTCAACGTAACATCGGAGTTCGTAAACTTGCTTTGAAAAGTGGAGTTTTAACTATAGAAGATCGGTGAAAAGTGGTGTTGGGGGGGGGGACAATTGATATGATGTTTCCCCTACTTTGAAAACGGTGGGAGGGACGTGTCCCCCACCGATGCCGATGACAGTATACAATAATTATGCCAGTATCCAGGATTCTACTATATCCATAAAGGTAACTTAATTTTTTTTTTTTTTTTTTTCAAAATGTTCTAATTTACGAACTGATAATCTTGATAAAACTTCTATATATTGTACCCTGAGAGCTTATGGAGAAATTGATGTCTTCAAAAACCTCAGAAATTTGCTGGCAGAAAAACCAGAATCTATCGAATATGTAACCCAGGCAGGGCTAAAATTAATATTTCCTTCAGGATCAACAAACAGCAATTGCTTGGATATTGCTGGATAATTACTGAAAATGTTGTGATACATCACAATATCTATGGATAATTAATTGAAGTGGCATATGACAACTCCCTCCTGACGAACTTTCCGCACCAGGTGCAAAAAAGTAATGAAGCGGCTATCAGGATCTAAATGTCATTTTCCATAATGAAAGGTTGTTACTGTTAACAATTATTTAGATATCGACCATATATTTCCCAAGGGGTGGGGTGACTGGCTTTGAGTCGTGGGAAGCCTTGGCAATTTATATTTGGTCCTAGAGGAAGGTTGCCAAACATAGATGTAGATTAGGCCTACATTATGACAGTTCTATAATGTGTCGTATGATCACTTAGTACAGAGTTGATTTTTTTTCCATCCAATTTTATGTATGTTGGAGTATCTTGGAGCAGTCTTGAAGGAGACTAGATCAGTGTGCGAGATTTAGATAAACTGTTTCTGTTGAGTGATAGAGACAAGATCCAGTGGTGGATCCAGGAATTTGAATTAGAGGGGGGGCCCACTGGGAGGAATTTTGATGGAGGGTCTATACTATGGCACCTCTCGATGGTCGAAAATGGCACTCTCAGACTTAAAATTTGAAAATAATTTTCTTTTTTTTCTCTCTATTTTTTTCACAATTTTGAAAAATTTAGGGGTGGGGTGCGGACTGTTTTTCCCCTCCCCCTTCCTTGAATCTGCCACTTGGACAGATATTGTAAGCATTACTTATTTCAAGAGGCTGGGTGTAGGTGCAACTGTATAGTAAAGGATACTAATTTGAATCTAAAAATAGTTTCACGACGTGTCGACTATTCGAATAATCATGGAGATATTATAATTTACTATAATATCTCCATGGAATAATGCAAATGTACAATACGTTTGAAAAAAATGGGGGAACTCCCTAGATGATGAAGGACTTTTTAAATTGTATTGATTTCAATTAATCACTGTGTGTCGTCTCTGATCTTATAACTATCATGATTTTGATTTGTTATTTCCTGAGTTATTCCGGTTTGATTTAATATATGCCAAAATGCTGTATTAAAATTTTGCTTACACTGGTTGGCTTTTCCAGAATGTGATTTTTTTTTTAACATTAACAATTAATAAATAATTTAAAAGTGTAAGTTGGTGGCGCTGTACAGAGAGAAAATATCGATTTGTATTTTCTGTTCCCCCTGCCGAGGCCCAATCGATCATCCAATCTCTACTGCTTCCCTGTGTAGATGTCATTGTTTATTCGCAACAATTTCCTACGAAAATTCAATTATTTTAAAGTACAATCTTTAAGCAAAATCGTACGTATTATTTTTTTTAGTTTGTATATGCTGTCTTTGTTTGATGAGGGATATTAGGCCCAGGACTTTCTTATCGGTGGTGTAGGCCTGGCTAGGCCCCTACCCTAGGTATGGTGAATCGGAATCCAGCAAGCCTCAGGGTCAAGCTAGGCCTAGGTCGCAAACATCCCTGTCGTAGCAGTTTCTGGATGTAGGCCTAGTCCTAGCTAGCTCATTTAGGTCTGTGCATGGAGGTATTATAGTGAACTCTGTGTCGGTGTTGGCATTGTATATCAGTGTTTATTAGGCCTAGCCTAAATAAATTTAATTATCTCTTAAAAAGACTCATAACGAAACGATAATAATGTTCGTAAATAATACTAGGTAGGCCTAGGCCTACTAGGCTAGGAGGCTAGGCCTAGCCTAGGCCGAGTAGTAAAATATAGGCCTCTATCTATCTAGGTAGAGGCTTAGGCCCAGGGAGTTGTAGGAGCTGAGGGCCAAGGCCTACCTAAATAAAGTGAAACAAAACATTTTTTTTAAATTATATTTATTATTATTATTATTTTTAATGAATTGTACTGCTAGCTACCCCTTATGAACGTGAGGCATATTAAATATAAATTATAATAGATTAAAAATTGTAATATTAATAAATTTTAATATTGTTAAAAGTATAATTACAATTTTTAAATATATTCAAGTCTACTCTACACACTATATATATATATATATATATATATTTATCTACTCTACACACTATATATATATATATATATATATATATGATATTGAAGGAAGTTAGCTATTAACACTGTTGAATAAATATAATATAAATCATCAAAGGTACATATACAGTGTTTAATAAGGACATGATGGAACATCGTAGGCTACCCTGTAGCTTTTCAATGAATAAAGTCCTATGAAAAATCATTGTGTAATAAAATGCCTCCGACGGGATTCGAACCTGCGACCTCTCGCTGACAAGGCGAGCATCATAACCACTAGGCCACGAAGGCTTCATGGTTGAACAGGTCCAAATACCTGTCGGGAACATTGTATTACACAATGCTATGCCTCAAGAGGTCGTTCTTCCAGATAAATCTGGAAATACGGCTAGAAATACTGTCGTATATTATATATGATATTGAAGGAAGTTAGCTATTAACACTGTTGAATAAATATAATAGAAATCATCAAAGGTACATATACAGTGTTTAATAAGGACATGATGGAACATCGTAGGCTACCTGTAGCTTTTCAACGAATAAAGTCGGACTTTATTCGTTGAATTATATTTATTCAACAGCTGTCTCTTATCTTTCAATTGAAATCCAGAAGCTTTACATCTTTGCCATAGCAGAAAGATTTACTATGTTTGATAAAAATGGTCACCATAATTAACTTTTGAATTTTATGACTACCAGCATTTTTTTTTATGAAGCTGTGTGCCTGCAAGTACATTTTACCTCTACAACCATTTCATTGGATTATGAAAAATTATGAACACTGATTAAAAATTGAGTTCATATTTCTGGATTAAAGAGGCTTGAAACCTGCCAATCCTCTAAAACCCCCTTCCCACAACCATTTTAGTCCACGACCAAAATCCAGTTTTTGGCACTCAATGGCGACTCTTCTATCCAAAACCAAATTTATCACCAGAATAAAAATGTTTTAATATAAAATTATTTTTGTGCTAAAGTTTTACAAAAGTTGACCAAGGTGCATGTTTTTATATGTCCCCGAATGAACAATCTTAGCTCTACCCCTGACAATTTAAAAGTGCCTTTTTTAAGCATTAAAAGATATAAAAATATTTAATATTATGCATTCAACAGCTTGTACACAATACATTTCTATGAAGTGCTTTATCTCAATAGAAATGTATATATAGTTTCCTTGTCACACTGAAACTATGCTGGTGTATTTATATTTTGTTTTTAAGACATGCATGGGCGGAAGGGTTAGAGTCTTTTAAAGAGCCATATATCAAGTATATATGTCCAACTGCGTAAGTATTCTGTTTATTTTACTTATTTACATAACAATCAATCAAACAAATGCTTTTATATGCACGATAAAATTTCAACACAATTTTAATTAATAGTATGTATGGTCAAATATGTAATCTTTTCATATACTGTATTCTAGTTTATAGTGTAATTTATATTGTGACCCTGTATTGGTGTTTTATACAGTGTTGGTTCTTGAAACTATTCAAATTCACATGGACATTCTTATTTGATCATCTTAACATTCTTATCTGTAATTTTTTTCAAATCGTTAACTTGATTTCCATCTGATAGCCCTACAATACCTGTGACACTGAATAATGGCTACAGAATGCCAGCATGGTTTGATATTGCATCATTATCTTTTTCTGGTGGTGAGGATGAACCTGGAATCACTAGCTCATCCAAACAAAGTAAGTCTTGATAGATAAATTTATATAGTTATGTAATAAATATATATAATGATGTTGAATTGTGATGTCATCATTTTGACCAACAATGTAATTTTTCTGTCACAAATTGTGCACTGATTTTTCATTAGTGCATATTTGTGTGCCTTTTTGCAAACAAGAAAAGGCCATTTCGTGTTTACTATGTACATACACCATGACAAATTATTTCATTTCTATGTTTACCTACAGTACCTTCATGTGACAAGGAATATTATGTATTTATCTTGAAAATCCTCTACTATCTTGTTTTGTCCAAAATACAGATGTGTGGTGATGAACTGAGTCACCCATTTTTATTTTCTCCTTGTTTTATTCATTCTTATGTTTTCTGTTATCTGATATGTATTGTCTCTATGTTTTTAAGTACAAACGCTTATTGAAGAAGAAGTGAAATCTGGAATTGATCGCTCAAGGATCATCATTGGTGGCTTCTCACAAGGGGGCGCTGTTGCATTGTACTCTGCTCTGACTAATCCACAACCTATAGGCGGGGCAGTTTGTCTGAGTAGCTGGCTACCTCTTCATGCATCATTTCCAGATGTGAGTTTATATCCAATTGCAATAACTTGCTACTGTAATGATGTTTCATAAACGTAATTTTCTTAGACTTACGAAGTAGAGTTGGAAGATGATCTACAGTTGAACAAATGATCAGTTTTTTAAATGTTTTTTTATGTCATTGTTACCGTGTACTGTATCGTAAAGTATTCTTAAAATAGCAGACATCCTGCTGTTGTATACAAAATAAAATAATATAAAATATCTTTTCTATTGTCACAGGCTTGTAAGGGTAACAAAACTTTTCCAATCCTTCAGTGCCATGGTGATTCTGATCCTATGGTAAATTACACATATGGACAAATGACTGCTGCTGTAGTATCTAAGATGTGCTCAAAATACACTTTTACGACATATCCTGGTCTAGGGCACAGTTCAAACCCAAGGGTAGGTATCTTGATAATATGATTTTTTTTTTTCAAAGTTGAATACTTTTGAAAGTAATAGGTGGATATAATTTCTGAAAAGTTATCGATGATGATGGTGATGATGTCAACGATAATGACGAAGATGATGTTTTGATTTGATTTATTCGATATTTTATACAAAAGAAAAGCAGCAAATAAAAAACTAAGAGACACAGAGTCAGAAGTTATGATATCTGAGATAAACCCTCTAAATCCTAACACAGGATTTATTTCAAGAAGGGTCACAAACCCACTAGATCTCTCTGTCTCAAGTTATAGACTATTCAAATCCATCCTGATGTTCCTATTGTATGTTTCACAATGTTCTGTTACAGGAAATGATAGATGTGAAGAACTTTATCTCCAAAACTTTACCACCAATTCCCTAGAATAATCCTGTGATGTCAACTTAATATACTTATCAATTTCACATCAGGAAATATTAAGGATACAAAAAGCTGTCTCCTCTAGGCCTATCGTTGTGTCATCAAGTGTAAGGACTGCAGTCAAGGATGCCACAGTGGTGGAAAAACAGTGTTTTTAATTAATATCTACTTGATGTGTTCTCTTTGTTTATTATAAATTATATCTATGGGGTACTCAGTGTGCTTACTGAAAACTTAAGTTATCCATAGTAACTAAGTATATACGGATCAGACCAGAAAAACCGATTGTGTTGCTCAAGCCCAACCAATTGAAAATCTGAAAATATAGAGTCTGGTGTTTTTTTTTTGACAAAATTATATTTTGTTTTTACAAAGGATGATATTTAGTACTTACTTCTTGGTATTTGCCATTTCATGGCCAGAATATCTGACTGCCCTTTATTGAGAACACCTGACAAAGTCACTGCTTGATTTTCGTTTAAGGAAGGCAGAGATCAAGAGGTGTTTTGCAATGTTTTATTAACTTATATTAAGTTATGTGAAGTATTGTTAACATATTTAGTAATCAACATTCTATTTAAAAAAACCTTACCAAAAGATTTTTGCCCTAACAGAAGTACATGTGGTGAGTAATTTTATTGGTTGATTATGAACCTAGGCCTTTTTATTGAAAAAAAAAAATCTTGGCCAACTGACTGACTCCTTTTCAAAATTATGTAAAAGTACTTGGGCAACACAACGTTTTTTTAGGTCTATGTGTGTCTACGGTAAGCTGAGATTATCTAGCGTTAAAATGTTGAATTGAGTCTGTGTTGAACAGATGCTATGTGCAAGGTTAACTATGTGCTTCTATTGTGTGCTGTGTTGATTACAGCATCTTTAACCTATGACCTTAAAAACTTTAGTTTTTATTGTTATTTCTCAAATTGATATAGTGTAATTGTGAAGTACTTGAAGACATTTTTTGCCCAAATTTTAGAAACAGAACTTAATTAATCCGGGTAATTAGGTGTTAAATATATACAGTTGAACTTGCCTTTTGAAGTCGAATCCAAAATGACATTGAAAAATTGTTTGACTTAGATAAAATTTGACTTACAGATTGTTAAATAGTGGATAACACACCAATTTGGGATGTAAAATAAGACCGACTCAGAAATTAATCGACTTAGGCGAAGTCAACTTAAGCAAGTTTAACTGTAATTACTGTAGATATTATCTACGTACATAGACCTATAATGTTTTTGTAAATTTAAATAAGACCTACATTCATTTGTTTTTTTTTGGGTGGTTGTTGCTACCACAAAAGTATAATGTTTACAACAAGAATGTATAAAAAAATAAGGAAAGACTATTCAAGGGACTATGCTGATGACTAGGTAATCCAATATTCCTAACTAACTGATACACACTCTTAAAACTAGGCTCTGTAAGAAAATGGTGTTGGTATTTTTACACAATGTCTAAGATTATTTATTAGTATAACATACAGTACCAACTTTTTCCATGTGATTGACTTTTAGGTTATGTACAAATAATCATCAAAGAAAGGTAAATACAGTGTTCGAACAAAGGACATAATAATATGTTGCATGCTTCATAAAGATAATGTTATCTCAGTGATTACAATGTATTATAACATTATCAACAACACGGTTGTACAATATATACATATGGTATTAAACATTTCTCTGTAGTTTAGCTGAACTTGGCTACTTATAACATGTTACTCGGTAGCCTACCACGTAATCGGTAAAACTGTTTTACCTGTACAGTGTATATAGACATTTATATACGATCTTGTTACCAAAGGAGGCAAAGGCACTTGGAAAGGTCTCGGGCAGTAATTCACAATCAGTGGCATATCTAGGGGTGTGTGGGGGACTTCCCAAAAATAGCTCGAAGCCAAAACATTACACTCTAGTAGTTCAAAATTACCTTATTTTGAGAACTAGCCTCACCTAATCAGTCTCCCCGTTTCAAGACTCCGAGATGCACCACTGTGCACTATGCACACCAAGTGGCAGCACTTTTAGGGGATAAGAGGGTATAATTTAAGGTGAAAGGTTGTAACAAGACATTTTTATTGGATTTTACATAATAATAATAAAAATAATAATGTCATGTGTTTCAACAGCTCGTCATACCCGATTAGTTGTGCCCATGAAAAAATCTCTGCTTTCATTATGTAGTTACATTGTACAGATAATTATGTAATGCATTGTTTCATAAGTATGTCTTTCTATCCTTGTCTGATAAGAAGATGAAATGCTTTCACATAAACTCAAACCTTTCATTTTGTTTAAAATGTTCAATAAATCAACATATTTGTCAACTCAGTTATTGTTAAAGCCTATCGTAACACATTATTATGTAGGCCTACATAAAATGTCAGAGATGCATTTCTGTAGTTTATGTTTGAATTAGCTGGTGTTTATTTCTGCCATCATCCGGTTGTATTTTTCTAACTTGAGAAATCTGGTAGGGAGATAAGCCCCAGTCGACAAGCCCCAGTCGACCCTTCCCTACTAAAACTTTCTGAACAAAAAAGTACATTCATGTAGTCCTATTCAAAAGTCACCTCATGTTATCTCATATGCTCTTCTACCTTTGCATAACTTTTCCATTTCCCTCACCTTCACATACCCCCGTTCCATCATCCACCCTACAGTATGTCTGTACCGTACTAGATATGTCATGCTATTGGTTGGAATGTGCTGTATTTGGGATATTGTATACCAAATTTTCATAAATAAGAAAAATAAGTAAATATGTGTTCAGGTCGTCGAGAGCCACTTGAAATTTATCTGAGTAAATTAATTCTCAATTTTGCTTCTCTCGACAAGCATCTGGTCCACATGACCCGTGTGCTTGGGATAGAATCTAATTATGATATATTGCACTGCACTCTTACTGGTACAGTAAAAGTAAACCAGTTGTGCCAAAACCGCCGTCGTATTGGTATTTGAAACGAAAAAAAGAAATGTATACAAAGTTGATGTACAGCATGTAATCATTAAGTATTTAACGTGAAACAAAATATTGAATGTATAGTAAAATGAAAATTGTCCCTTATAGATTTATTTATCCTATATGGACAAACTCGTCACGTACTAACTACGATAAACATGCCTCCTCGTTTATACACATTTTACACACCTTCAACTATTAAAGTAAATTGAATACAGTAATTATATTTAAGAATTCCTGTTTATATCAGCAAAATAGGAAATTATACCTATTTATGAGCACACGTAGGCCTAAGGAATCGGTAAAATGCACAAATGTTATTTACAACGTAAATACTGTATTACATTATATACATACACACAGATACACATGTATTTATGTGTATGGAATTATGTTTCCTCGTACGCGCTGCGACCTCTTGGAGTACACTCTAGTTTGCCTCCGTCCAACCTTGTTAAAGCCTATCAGTTGTTTGAGGTGCTTTTGCTTGGATCAGGCACCCACTTCGTGACTTGGTTGATATAAATTTTCTCCATGATATAAACAACGTGGATAAAGTGCCTGGCCCAAGACACAGTCAAGTGATCAATGTCGTCTTAAAACACGATACTTTTCCTTTCAAGAGAGCATTTGGTGCTAATCTAGAGCGGCGCCAATTCAAAAGAGGCGCCTTGTCGAATATTTACGGTAGTTTATTATTACTCGTTGTAAAGTAGAATTAATGACTTCAATATACGCATAAATAGGCAAAATACAATTGTAACTAAACCAATTAGAAAAAAATATATTTTCTTCCTTTGTCTCTCATACCTGGAATTTGAGTTTCACTAATGAAAACTTCAATAGTAATGTGATGTAATGTAGTTAGATTTATATAGCGCTTTACACCGAAAGGTCTCAAAGGACTGAATGTGTGGATTTGCTTTTAAAGTAAATAATGCTTAATCCCCTAATCGTCTCCGTGTCTGAGCTACCCGGTAGTCCACAGATTTTACCAAAACAATTTTGTTTGTGGGAATAACAATGAATCGTTTAATGATAGGCCTACTCCCATTGTCTTCATTCTTACTTCCTTCCCTCTTGTTTTTTACCTTTTCGATCCTTTCGCACTATAACAGAATGTTGTGAGTGTCCTTCAGTTTGAACTCGTCGCAGTTGCTTGATGTTGACTCCTCGCGTGAATATTGTGGGTATCACGTCACCTAAGCAGTATTTTGGAATCCACCCTTGTTTGTTGTCACTAAGGTTCTGAGCCCTTACCCAGCCTGTTGAAAGTTTACAAGAAATGAATGTGTATTAAGTCTTGTGTTTCCAGGCTGCTGAACCAATAGTAAGAGTATGGAAGGGAAGAGGTAGGCCTATATAATATGAGGGAGAACATAAAGGAATACGATACAAGAATAAGGAGAATATAAATATGTCGATTTACATACCGTTGTTTTGCTCAATGATTTCTACCTCGTCTTCAGTATTTACTTTCAATTCACCCCTCTCTTTTGCAGAGAAATCTTTGAAAATCTTATACCTCGGTCGACCTAAAAGGTTAATTTAAATAAGCTATGAATGATCACAGAACGAGGGAAAATTATCACATTCTGTAAATAATTTGCCTGTGTTTTTCAAATATTTCCTTCCTTGATCAACCGATTCTACCAGTCATTGCACCACACCCTCCATTCTTTACATCAAATTCGCACTTCTTGCACCGCTACTCTCTTCCACTTCTGGCATCGTATATCACTCATTCTTTCACGTAACTATTCCCCACTCTTTGCACCGTGTTTCCCATTACCCTCGTGTCTCCACCCCAACTTACTCCACGAAGCATATTGTTCTCCGTTATCACCTGTTGGTACTGTCAGGTTCTTCCTCCAGCTTTCGAAGCTATTTCTGCATGAATAAAAGAACAAACACCTTTATTAACAACAATAAATATAGCATAATTTTATGATTATTTCTAACATCATAAATAACATCATTATCGTCATTATTACAAAGTTACTGCTTGGAATCAGAATTATATTTACGGCATATGCGACCGTCATGGAAAGTAATGTAAGTCTTAAAGTTTAAACTAAATTCAGAAATCGAATTGGTGATTCTTTACCCACCAAGGTGTAAGTTTCGTAGGACAAAAATCTGACATCGTTCCCGCACCTTGGGGTTGTGTTTGATGAGGGTCCATGGGTTCCCAAGGTAGATTTAGTTTGCAGTAGTGTGAATAATATTAAAATCCGCAAATACATTTATATTAACACATGTGCTCACGGTGTCTGTTCTCTTCCGTTCTCTTCTTGTGATAAATATTGATTACAGTACTGTAATTCTCTTACTTTGTCATTAAAGCAAACTACAAACGTCTGCAAAAAACGTTACCGTAATGTTTTGCTAGATAAGATTACTGTGCACCACGTTGCACTCACTCTTACCCTCTGAAAGAATTACACTGGTTGACAGATAAACAAAGTGACATTTTTAATTGTGTAATTGTCAGGCACCAATGTACTTGCGTGGAATAATCAATATAATGTATGTAGGTCTTAGGTGCAAACACGATACCAAACATTTAAGCTAATGCTTCCTGTGTTTAATGATCATTCTGCTGAACGTATAGGCCTACATTTTCTTTGATCTAACCAGATCTTCGGAACAATCGTTCACGCACAGTATCTTAATTCATTATAGATATTTTCAGAAAACTAAAACTTTGTCAAGTAAAATGTTCACCACACCGGTTCATGAATTTTGTAAATCTGGTCTTTGTAAAAACACTATAGCAAATTATTATTGTATTTCTACAGTTTTATAAAACATGACGCTTCATAATAGTTCATGACTAAATTTATTGTGACTAACCTTGATCGAGAAGGTTCCCAGCATACGTAATACATTCTCTTGGTTGGGCTTGGATCCTTGTGCATTACCACGAGAAACACATTCAGTGCCGATCCCTTTTTTATTGGAATTTTGAACGGGTACGTATCGGAAGAAGGTTTCTCAATTTCAATGAAATTCTTGTTTGCACAGTCAATTAGCTTGTAATAAACACTTAAAAATATAATGTACAAAAATAATCTTATTCACAATAAAAATGTTAATAATAACATTGTCTGTAAATTGAATAATGAAATGGATTCAGCCGGATTTTAATTTAGTTTTGTTTTACTTCAGTTGTACTACAATTGTGAAACTGGGTTTGTACCCTTTAATTAAGCATCAGGATGTGCACTGACTTTGAGTACAAATAGTATAAATGTCACTCCAAAAATTGACATGGACATTTTGTTGTATGTTTCGCCTTTATTTAAGCATCATCATACTGTTTAAATATAAATATATGTATATATTATGTTTAAATATCAATACAGTATATACATTCATACTCTTTTTACTAATTAACGCCATGGTAATTTATTTAGTGGCTTACTCATTTTCTCCACCTGTTTTGTGTCGCTTAACGTCAATTAGCATAACCAGTCGTTGAAATGTGACCAGCTTCACATGCGATCCAGCTTTCTTCCAGTCTTTACCGTCTTCTTTTTTCAAGGAATACATGATGACGCTATCCCAGGTTTCAGCCCAACTTTCGTTGCTAATTTGAATCTCCTGATAGTAAGATAAATAGATTAAAGTGTCTATTGGCAGTGTATGAGCATGCAATTCAACAACTGGAATATTCTAGATTGGGAAAATTAATGTGGCAAAATACACCACTATAGCTATAGGACATGTAGGCGGTAATAATATTAAAAAATACTGCAGCTGCAGTGAGGATTCTAAGGGCTACAGTAACACTACTATTGAATAAGCTATCACTGTTGGCTTTCCTCCATTCGTGATCGTGGGTTTCCCTGACGGAATCGTTTACTCCTACCTAATTTATTGTGCAGCCATCAGTCAGAAACAGATCGAAGTTTTTTCTCCTTGGGTGAGAGTCAAGCGCCTATCGAGAACTTAAGGTCCAGGTATAGAATGTTGGGTGTGCCTTTCCTTCTAGGGGTCCAAATGGAATAGCTCCGCTTGGAAATTCTGAAGTTTTAGCCATTTTAGCCAAAGAAAAATCTCTAAATAATTTCACACTTCAAGATATTTTTTTATTCTGTTGTCCATGAATCCACAACTGACAGTAGAGTTCTTTTTGATGAATACATCGGAATGCACTAAATAATTTACCTCAGATGAAATCACGCCCTCGTCAGATTCAAACTCCATTCTTAAGAGAATCTTGGAGACGTGTCTTTCCTCTTTCTCTTGCAATTTAAAGTTACGCTCCTCACATTCTTCGTTAATGGCGTTCATATTCTGAACTAGGTCATGTACAAGCCTCACTACGTTTGCTCCTGGGTTATTGGTTTTCTGAATTACAATCTGCAATCTCTGCGAAAAAAAAATGTTACTGTATTTTATAATCTCGAGGGTTTGTTTTTGTAGGCCAAATCCCATTTCATACCCGTATCTCGATATTTTTGCTATGTTGCATGTTGGTGTAAGCCCGTAAATAATACTCCATGAAAATGAGAGCATTCCCAAGAAAACGAATGCAAACAAAAATAATTATAAAACGATAACAACGAGGTTTATTACATTTAAAATGTCTCACCTTGAAGCGTAGATTAAGTTTTTGGAGAAAATAGCAAGGCTGCTTCAACAGAACGTCTAAGGGGCGTATCTTTTTGCGAACAACAGAAGCTGAATGACCATTGTCCGATGTTTCCAAGTTTATTTCGATTTGTCGAAATGCCATGCGTCTTTTTCTAATTCATAAATCATTAAAAAAAATAAACTAACATGGCCGCTGTGACAACATAAACTGCAACATTTATTATTAACGAGAAAGTGCCCTCACATCATTTAGGTTCTACCTACTTAATTTAATATTTACACGTTCACATGGCCTATGAAATTATTTTAGTTACCTCTACGAAGGTATACTGTCTAATCGTATAAAATACTTATCTCTGTTACACGTAACGCATTTACAACTAGTGTTGTACCACGCATATAGAAAAGAGGCTGGAAATTATTTGCCTCTAATCAGATTGTTGGGAATTCAAATTCTTCCACACTCTTTTGTGCGTGCGTAGTTCAACAGAACTGGCTCTCAATGCACCGCAAATAACAGAGATCACTAATGGTACATCCTCATCTTAAGCGTTTTCAGCAACAAGAATAATTGGATCTCGGAAATTACTTTAAAAATAATTCATGGTACAATTTAAAGACATAAACTTTAAACCGTTGAGATATAGTTTTTATAATTATACATACATACATATCAGCCTATTCATTTATTCATTCATTTAAATATTCTCACCTAAGATATGATAGAGTATAGTCTTGAAATCTTGAGTTGACTTGGTAATCTTTGAAAACATTTAGGTAGTCATAGGCCACAGCATCGAGGAGGAGCTGGCAAATTTGTGAATCGCTTCGATCACATTTTTTCAAATCTTCCAATATACTAAGAAAAATTAACATTTGAATCAATACCAATATTAATAATAATAGTAATACCCTTCAATTAACTGCAATACTGCTAAATGTTATTTATCGTTTTTACTATCAATAACAAAGACAATAACTATTTAAGGACAAGTTCCGCCTAATGTAAGAAACTCCATTCAAATGTATATATATATATTTACATGTGTGTGTGTGTGCTTGTGTTTATATGTGTGACAATGATTTATACGCACTCTGACAGATATTTCATAACTCTTTGAACTCTTGAAAACAGCCTCCTGTACTCGCCCTCCTGTAAAATTCCATTCTTCGGGTCTAATGCAGGATTTGTGACGTAACGACGATATAGAAAATCCAATTCGTCTAAGCTGTTGCTCACAAAGTCAATAATTTCGTTAAACACCTTTAATGAAAAAAAAAAATATTTTTGTTGACTACTTTTAATATGAAATTTGTTAGTTATTGGACATATATTATAGGCCTACTAAATAAGCCTGCTATACCCACTAGGTCTGTGTTTACAAACAAATATATAAATACGTTATCCGTGAGAAGAACATGTAATACCCGATAGATGTAACAAATTGATTTCAGTTCTACCTAATTGCGAAGAGACACAAATAGGCTTGCTATGGAACAAAAGTAACCAACATTACCTTTAGAGGTAATTAGAATGTCCTAATTGCTTGGAAACTTCAAGTTCAACACTCTACTTTTTAAAACCATATCAAAAATTTTTTTTTTTTTTTTTCATTTTTTAAACATAGACCCGATACAAAAAATAGACATTTAGAGTTGATTCATGGTAATCTGATAAATAAACATAAATTTATTTTATTTTATTTTATTCAGGTATAAAAAAATACAAAAAGTAGCCAAAGGCTAAAATTATTGCATTTACAGTGTTAAAGATTATGTATTGCACAAAAACATTAAAAAAATGTATTTACAAATTAATAACAAATCTGAATGAATTGGCTACAAAATGTAAAGACAATAATGATAAGATATAAGTCTTACTTCTTCTGTGCTTTGGACGTCCCTTCTCACTTTGCCAGTTCTTTAAAAATGATTTTGAAATACATAAAACACTAGTGACAAAAAGATCATATGTTCATCGATATATAAATACTTCATTTGAATATAAAACCTGTCATAGTTAAGTTGAAATAATAAAGTTGAATATAATTTTATAGAAAAGGTAGGTGGTTCTGGTGGGTAAAGCCGACCTCATAAGGATTCTAAAAGTGCAGGGCTTTAACAGGAGGGTTACCATAATTATGTTTATAGAATATGATAAAATGTTTAATTAATTCAGTACTTACATATCAAGCTGAGAAATATTTGGCTCGTCATCAATATCTATCAAAATGATATTTTAAATGTATATGAGAAGTGCTCTGAGATTTTGCAGTATACTATAATGATGATATCATTATCCTATAATTATTTACCACTGTCACTATCAACAATAGGCATATTATTTCAATCATTGTCATTATCATAATCTTTATAATAATCATCAGTATTATCATTGTTAGTATCAGTGAGGTTGATGTTCACGTATTTTTAGGATAAGTAAATGAAAATAGTATTTTTACATTAGTTTCCACATACAATACTATAAATTGTATACAAAAAATGTTGTTAAAAACAAAAAGATGTATTACGTTCCACAGTTATATAGGTGTTAGACAATACAAAACACAATAGAGCAAATCAGTAATGTAAAAACTAATTAAGAAATGATTGTATGCATGAATTTAAAATACATCCCGGATATATCTACAAATAGAACATACAACTACCATGTTAGCCAATAAAGTACCGTTATATTGATTATTGTTTATTACACAAATGTCATAAAAAAAACGAACAAAAACAAAATTAAGTAACAAGCTTATGGATAAAGACAAATTGTACAACATCAGAAGAAATCGAAGATAAGCAAGCGATTAAAGATAAGTAAGACATAACAAATCGGAAATTTGCAATTTACAATTTTGTCAAGAACCTTGCAACAAGAAACAAATACAAAATCAAATACGACTTTATCGAGCGCCCTCATAGTTAATATAAAAGTTCTATAGTTCTACAACCATTTCCTCCAGACATTCGACTTTTCCATTTACAATACATTCGATCAGTAGTGTAGGTTTCTTGTTTCCCTACATTTGAAGCTTATTACTGCGCCTTCAGAATTCACTGTTAAAGATACACAGGTCTAGTTTCACGTATCGCCTTTTTATTATTAATAATCAAAATAGAAAACTAAGCAGAAAACAGATGAACATTAAATGTCAGAAGAAAGAATAGTACCCGATGTTATTCACCAATTACCAACTGTCAGTCAAATCATACCTGGTTGAGTTGCTACATGCGTGTTTACGGGTATACTAAGTCTCTTTTTTCTTCTCGGGAAAGATATTGATCCAAATTTTCTGTTATTTAAGAATTTTCTTAATGATGCCTGTCCTTTTTTGTCCTTGTCAGCGACCACGCAATCACCATCAGCAACTTGCATAGCTCTGCATGGTTCCTCGTATATATGAGCTGGATATGCAGAATCAACATGAACACTGTTGACATGAAAAATGTATTAAAACTTTGCCTAGATTATCAAGATTTCGTTGACTAAATACTGTCGTATGGCCATATAAAATCTTGATGTGCCTGTATATGATTATGATGTGATATTATTCTGAATAGACCTATTATTTCTTTCGATTACGCATCATCTCACAGAAACTTCACTTTTTGGTTTTTGTTTATTTAGCCAGGATTACACCAGCTGATTAAGTACTCGTATTAGAAACAAAGGACCGACTATTTTAACTAAAGCCTAAATCTATGCAATTTCTAATTGGTCCAAAATTTAACAATTAATATAGACTTATTTGGTTTTTCAATATCATCTCATTATTCGCATACTCAAAACTGTCTGCCTGTTGCTGAAAGTTTGGAATATCCTCATCTGGCTCAGAATTATCGTCTGAAAATTCGTCGTCACTTTGTTCTTCCCAGTCAATGCAATCAGTAAACTGGTCATGATTTGGTTCCTTAGGCCCAAAGAGAACCTCATTACGTCTGTCTTGAATTTGTTGTTCAAATGCAGAATAACGCCTGCTATGTTGTTGCGTTTCATCTAAGCTTTTTCCGTGTGGAGGAGTGACATCTTCTGGTCCAGGATATGTGGTTACGTCATCGGAATTGTGAATAGTCATTGACTTGTGATCCAAAGATGAGTCAAAGTCGTGTATTTCCTGCAAAAACATACCTCTAATATAATCATCCATTTCAATGTTATGTACCGCAAACTAGCGTTTAGTATTTGTTGTCGGTTAGAGTGCGATAGGTTAGTAGGCCTACTTTATTTTAATCAATATCACGCATTAACTTAGACCTTATATTAATAAAGATATGGAATAAAAATTTATGTTAAGTGTTGCTTATACAAAAAAATATTGTACTGCATCATGATTTAAATACGGTAACTATAGACAAATGCAATATCGACGGACCAAATTTCACAAAAAAAAAAAATCTACTAGAATATTGATATATTACACTTCTCTGTATGCATGCGTTGGATGGTGCAGTATGTGCCTTCTCTTCATGTTCGTGATCAATCATAGATCGCCTGTGAGCGATCACGCCGCCAAATTTCTCACCAAGTATATGCAAACGTCTTGAAAACTCTTTGGATCCTATTCCATCTGGGGTACTGCGAACCATTAAAAAGAAAAATACTGGTATTTTAATTCAACAAGACAGTGCACCTTTGTTTTGTATTATAAACAAGCATAAAAAAAAACGCAGTGGGTAAGTCATAATATCTATAATTAGTGAACTATATTTCGTATTTTTGTGGTGGTTTCGTACAATTTTGTATGCTGCTGATACTCACATAACCACGATCAAATGAAAAAAAAAAAAACCACCAGCATTAGCACTGTTTTCACAATTGTGAAATATAAACTATACGGTATATAGTGTAGTTACAGTATTTGAATGTTATTCTACACTCTACTGTCAAAGGAAGCATTCAAAGACTGTGCCTGCGAGGCTGTGTACGTAATGATAACCCACCAACACAAATCCACATGGCAATTAACTTCGAATAGGACTCCTTTCATCTCATAGAGCCAACGATCTATAAATCAGTTCACGGATTAGTAACCACGAAAAAGGGAAAATATGCGGATACCATAGGTAATAATAATATGTCTAGCAATTACATCTATTTAGAGATTGTGTTTATAACCAAATAATCAGCTCTTTGACGTGCCTTTTGCTAAGTTTTCTTTAAGGAGCAGCTTAGCTCTGTCGGCTAAACTGGTGGTAGCCACTGGGAACCGTTGAGATATGTTTTTCTCTTCTACCTGGCCCATCTGTGCTTTCTCCTACCTACCTACCTATTGTGTTTACTCTACCGGGGCTCTATGCAGGTCTAGCCAAACTGCAAACTCTTAATATTTTACTATCAAATTTCCTGTCGCACAGCCCTTGTGTGGATATACTGTATGTATATTTAAAAAAAAGCCAGTCTAAATTAGCATTTTGCTGATTGTTTTCCTCTTTTGATGTGGAATATTTTAGAAGAGAAAAATTTTAGACAATTTAATGGATCAAAAACTCTTAACAATTTTTAAAAATGTCCGCTACCTTTCCACCCAACCTCGACATTCTATCCGCATTAACACTTCCTTAACAGATATCAGAATTAGGACTACTATTCTATAACAGTGTTGTATTCCTAGGCCTACATAATATTTCTATTAAAATAGACTAAGCCTAGATAAAAGAGTCTAAACCTATACATAAACATATTTTTTTTTAAATGCCTTTTGACAAAGCTGTTGGAATTAGAATGTGAGGCATGTAGTAAGTGGGTTGAATATATTGTGATAAAACCCTTGAACCCCACTGACGTACCGTAACGATACATTGTCAGTGGTAAAACGTTGGAAATCCCCAGAAAAATTCATTATCGAAAATAAACTGTCTGTTGTAAAATCTGAACTTCGACCCTAGATCAAGTTTACCAAAATTACTGAATTAGAAAGCAGACCAGTATAGAAAACAGATGACTAATGACTGATACGATAATATAATACATACTCCAAGTATCGAAATGCACGCCATCGTGTCAGGATTGAATCCCGACACGATGGCAGTAGTTATGCTATTACCATTTCAGCAATAGTTCGAGTCTCACTAACACCGCGTTAGTTGTGAACTTTTTTTTCATTTCTTTTTTTGACTCCCTAATTTTTTTTTCAGTACTTTTAGTATTTTTGTTTTTCGTGCTTTTTCATACTTCATACTTTTAAAATTTTTTGCAACTTTACTTCTCATTGATTGACTTACGTAGGGTCGGCTCATATAGCGCGCAGTAATTATGAGTCTCCATTTCACTCTCGCTATTACCAGTGCAGCTTTTAATTCGACTATTAATAACGTTATTATTATTATTTTCCCTGTTTATTTTTACTTATTTTTTTAGAAATAGCTACTGTTTTTTCTAATTTATTTTTCTTCTTCAATCCTGTTTTCCTATTTTTTGCACAGTTTTTCTGACCGACATTTTAGTTACTTTTTCAAATAATGTCCAAGCAAAGACCATATCAACAATATGCATATCAAATTATGACCTCATTTTACATAGGCCTATTTTGAATATTATTAGCAGTCACAGTTTGAGTTTCCCTGACGTCGAGTTGCTTTTATTGTGTTTTAACTTCATAATTTTCTGTATGATTTTATTTTTTTTTCGTATGTTATTTTACGCTAGACTTTTCAACATCACTTCTCATTATGGCAAAGAGAAAAAGCCCTATGTTCTGTTTTACAGACATAGTAAATCTATATATTATCATTATGATTTTTGGCGAACATCAAGGTAATGTATGGTCTATGAATCTATTCAGGCATATGCTCTATTGTATTGCGGAACACGTTCTTTTGAGTGTAGAGATAGTTGAACAGAACGCTTAATTAATCCGAAAGGTCATTTAAACGATTATAAAAAAAAATTATCAGTTGACAAATATGTATTTGCAAAAATAATGTATAGATAGGAAGTTGGATAAAACATAAAAAATTCATCGTACCTTCGCCAGTGGTATGATTTAGAAATGGAAATATCTGAGAGGCTGAAACGCTTTGCCTTTGAGGATGAACTGAACGTATCATCAGGGTAGCAGATGGCAATTGTAGACATTGATTGACACTTTTCAGACAAATTTGATTCTGTGGGGATTGAAGATGACCGCTTGAATGTTCTGCTTAAATCCAGATTTTGTGGATCTTGTGTTGTTCTAGAGTGTTTATCAATTTGTAGTGCACTTGCTGACAAATTAGCTGATTTTAAAAATCTTTTTCTTTTCCTATCATACTGTCTTTTTTCAATCTCATTCACTTCCGGACAATTCTCATCCTGTGAGGTTGTTCTTGCCAGTGTGCTGCGTTTGGGTTTCGATGCCATTGTTTGAGACTTTTTGGTTTTATCAGGATTTGGGCATATTGTTCGTGTTACATTAAATTTGTTACACGTGTTACGAATATATTCTTCATATTCAAGTTCATTTTCATAGTGGTAATCACTATCTTCTGACTGAGTTTCTAATTGCTCCTCCTCTTGCTCTTTCAAATTGAGCATGAGCAGACGTCCATCGTCACTGTCTTCACTATCAAACTCTTCTGAGCTGTAACTGTCGAGTTCGCTGCAATCGTCAGACTCTGATCGGTAATCATCCGGGTTATGCCCCGCAGCTTTATGTTTAGGCCTATATTCTGAACATGAATTATTGACTTTATATATAGGCCTATCTGAAGAACTCTTGTTATCGTTTATGCCCGATTTACATCCTATTTTCCATTTCTTTTTTGTGTGTCCTGTCTCTATTTGGCTTTGGTTTGACCCATCCATGTGTGACCTTAATTCATCCTCATCCAGATCTGTGTTGGTTCGGACCCGAGAATGTGAATTTCTTCGCTCTTTGTTATCTTCCATAGACCCTGGCTTCGACACTTGTATTCGTATTCTACTACCGACTTTCCTGCTATAGTTATTAATTGAATCGTGTCCACGGAGAACATTTTGATTGTGTATATCCTCTTCGCTATTATATTCGAAATCTTCTTCGTTTTCTTTGTGGCTATAATCTCCGTCGATTTCGTAGGTCTGACGTTCATTGCGTATGTTGGCATTTCTTAGGTGGTGGTCACCCTTTTTCTTTATGTTAGGTTTCAATTTAGCAGTTCGTTTTGAAGCTGAGCGCAGTTCATCCCTACTTCCTCTGTCCCAGCCTGCCTCGTGATTACTTGGAGGCTTACGTCTCGGTACAGATTGTGAGCGCGGATTAGCGGCGTTTTTGTGGTGTGTACCACTGATACCCGTCTTTTGCGACGAGTGCCTATGCTTGGTTGTATTATTATTTGTTTCAGGTTCAAAATACAAAACTTCAAGTTGAGTATCTGGTTTCCTAGAAGTGAGTGGCGCTTGACGCATTCGTGGGTATCCCCCATCATCTTTTATAGAAGACATTGATGCGTTGGTCTTCTCTTGCCTATGGTCACGGCGTGATGGGGCCACAGCGCAAGTATTCTTTCCATTGCCATGCGTAGTTAGCGTCCATATAGATAATTCAGACGGTTTTAATCCAGAGACTCTAAGATCCGGTGTCGACTTGGCAATCTTTTTGCTGCCTTCAAACATCTTCCTTAAGTCAGTAACACTGGGGCTAGGATCGCTTGGTTGTACTTTAAGCGACGACATAATTAGGCCTATACTCCAATTACCAAACACTTGTGCGATTGGAATGATGAAGGAATTCAAAAGATTGTATACCAGTATTTTCAATGTATGTGCGCCTCGTTAAACAATAACGAGAGGAGCAACTCGCTGATTTTCACAATATTCTACCATCCGAACCAAATTCATCCATCTGCATGACAAATATCTGTGTCAACAGCGGGAAGTAGTCACAAACTCCGTCACTGTTAAACTATACATGATCGATCTCTTATGAGTAATCTTTAGCAATAACATCGCTGATATCACCAACGTCAGGGTTTGTTTCATTGTTTTTCTAAGATAATAATGAAACGGCTTATAATACAGCAGATGCATGGAAAATTGATACTTGTATTATAGGCATTATTCACTCCATATTTCGCATAATCAAGTTAAATATTTTGGTTTAATATAACCTATACAATTATATCCTACAATTGTGGTAATATTAATGATAGGCCTAATAATATTCATCATTATATTCCGTGTGCGAAATAGAGGCTTTTATTTATAAAAAGTTCAAACACACAATTTGTTGAGATAAATATTATACATAATTAATATCCACATTAAGTACAGCTTTGAATTTATTATAATTATTAATAATGATAGTGATAAGCATAATGATAGGCCCATGATGAAAATGACAATGACTGACATTGATAATAGCAATGACATGATGATATTTAAAATGAAAACGATAATGACAATAATAATATAGGAATGTAGGCATAAACAATCATCATCATCGTGTTCTGTTATTGTTAATATTACAACACGATTTTGCTCACATTTAACTATGATGTTGTTTTATACCAACATTATCGCGTCAAAGTGATTTGTTATGGCCTGGTATCTGACATCAACCTTGCACAGGTAACCAGGATCGAATTTTATCTCCCAAAAGCATTGAGTACTGCAATGATACACAACAGATCGCCTGGTCAGACTCACTGCAGAGTAGGACTACCAAGTTGTTATATACCTCCGCCAAGGAGGATATGTTTTCGCCCTTGTTTATTAGCTTGTCTGTTTGGGTATATGTGGGTTAGTTTGTTTGAGTGTCTGATTGCCTGTGAACAGCCTACATGCCACGGGTTTTTTTTTTTATCAGAAACTCGTCAAACTTGGTCACAATGATCCATGACAAAAGATCTGGTGGTGACTTCAAAAGGGCCTTTCAAAGGTGAAAAAAAACATATCTGCATTAATTTCACAGCGACATGCGTGAAAACAGTTTGGTACAATTATTATTATTATTATTATTATTATTATTATTATTATTATTATTATTATTATTATTATTATTATTATTATTATTATTATATTTTTTTTTTTACATTATCTTTTTTTTCATTGTCCATACTAAACATCTTATACACCCTAGGAATCCGCGCTCTAGTTCATGATATGATATAATTATTTCGTGTGACGGATAATACCTAATGCTTTGATAACATGTGAGGCTACCACATATCGCACTGATATGCTCAATACTGACGTCATCAAATAGGCCTACGTGTAATGCCAATGAGGACGGTGAAAACCACCACGATGATGAAGATGACGATTATTGTTTAATCACCAATATATATTTATGGGATAAAAGTATTTCATTTTTTGTAAAAGGGGTATTGAGACTTTTCGTGCGAAAAAAATGAATTATAAAAACACGCTTGAGTTGCGTTCAAGTGTACAACCAAACTTAATTTCACTCATAAGCTATAAGGGTTTCATGTGCCTGGTTGTGAGAGGTTACCAGTTGGTTTAGAAGTCATTACAATGAACAAATCCACTGATGCGAGTGTGTTATTGAAACGTTACTTTTGTACAGCGCATTGAGAGCTTGCTTACTTGTGCTATATAAGAATGAACTATTATTAGTATTATCATTATTATTAGTGTACTTATGAAAAGACATTTATTTCCTGAAATCGAACCAATTTGGTTAGGGCTTCAGTAAACGAAAGTAGCTGTTATGGTAGTCCACCTAAATCTAAGAATTATAGACTTGGCTTATATTTTGGAAAAGTTAGCACAACATGACAACCAGAAAAAAGCCACCAGTTAAACCAAGACCGACGAGGAATTCACGAATAAAATCCGAAGGAAATGAACAAGATTACAGGAACGAAAATATATCGTACCCAGGCTATGATTGTGAGGGTAAATATGAGCCTCCGGATAGTAATTATACCCAGGTTCAGAAAAAACGTGATAATCAAAACATTGGTGTAAACAGGGAGGATCTACCTGTACGCCTACCAGAGCCGTTCAAGAAGCAAACAAATGTAACACGCGGTAAGACTCTTTGTTTATACCTTACTATACCTATATTAAAATGCATTTATTTAATTATTTTAATTCTTATATATATTTAAAGGAGTTTTATTCTTTTAGATAAGCAAGTAAGATAAACTGTAAACGGGCCCCGGAGCCTCAAGGGGGCCCAACAAAATTAAAATTATTATTTTTTTACAAAAAAATTACGAAGGCACTTTTCCAAGCCAAAGTCTGCCAAGTGAAAATAAACCATGAACAAAAGCATTGACACACGAATATGATAGATATGTTTTGTCCATAAATATTTATTGATTTTAATTTTCTCGTCTTGTTTCGTATTTATTGTAATATGTTTATTAGTGATGTCTTATTTAAAATTGAGTATGCTTTATTGGGGTCAAATCACGATACATACACTTAAATACGAAAGTGTAAAAAGGCATTAAAATACGTCATGGAACGCTAAAAAAACGCCAGACCCCCACCGGGGGAGCCCTTGGTGACCCCCAGGCTTCAGCGTCGTGGGCCCTCCGGGTTTTTCGTTACGCCACTGCACATAAAATGTCGTCTATATGTTCTAAAGCTTGGTTTACACTGGCATGTTTAGTTGCGTCCGTTCAGACCAAATCAGTGATTACGCAGTTTAACCGACTGCGGTGGCTCAGATGTCTGCGTCAAAACGTGAGTCCTATAAGGTGTCACAAGGTTCATTAT